GAAATCTGCTGAGTCTGCAGTACGCCTTAGCAGAACAGACCAGCTGCATAGCAATGTGGTCATAGTCATACTTAGAGATTACAATGTCCAGCTGTGATTATACACTTACTGAAGCTGCTGTTTGACTAGATGTCAGCAGCAGCATGAAAGCGACCGTCCGCTCTGTTTCAGGGTGGTGACAGTGATGATGATGTCGAAGGTTTTGCTGGTTCAGATGACACTCAGCCTTCAGGTGACGGTCTGTCTCAGCCCTCACAAGACCTGGAGGGAGTTTCCACATATGGGGAGGAAGATCTGGTGCCTGAGCCACACAGGGTATGTCCTCTGTTTGTTACTTTCTATAACACAAACACAGAGCCTTACAACAGTTTTCACACTGTGGTTAGCTTCCACATTACAAACACAAACCTCTGTTTTTCTGATGTTGTGTTAAAATAAGAGATCCGTGATTGGTTTCTTTAGATGTATTCAATAAGGAGCATGCAGCTGCCACAAATTAAAAAAAAACAAAAAACAAGATGGAAACATCTTCTGTTTTTTCTATCCAGCCATTTTTGACACCAGCGGAAAGAATTGTAGAAAAATAAACTTGTCATGAGTCCAGGACTGCAGCTAAAAATCAAGTGATCTGTAGCAATTAATTGGATAAAAATATTGGCACGTTCTGCAGATTCTTCATTTAAGCCTTTTTATGTAATACAATATTAGGAATGAATTAAAATCCGAAAATAAACAAATCAATAACAAAAAGCGTTTTATGTCCTAACATGTAACGACACATCATTCCTTTAGTAAACATTTGATCATTTGAAGCAGAAGATGCATCGCAGCTAAAGTCCTTCCAACAATACTACTGAGCTCAGTTCATTTTGCTTGACTTAACATCAATGCAATGTAGGGCTGATCTGTTTTTTTTTTTTTTCCCTTTCACAGCTAATACTTGAATAGCATAAGATGCTCAGTTGATTTTTTTTTTTTTTTTTTTACATTCTTTTTACAGAATTTGAACCAAGTGAAGCTAAAACTAGAAAACTAGTTTTTAGTAGAAAACATATATCTTATATGCAAAATGTTGATATATGTGTACAAATTTGGCTTAACTACTGCCCTGAGTACGTTGTTCTTTCAGAAAACTGCCCCCTTTTTTTTTTTTCCTTTTTTTGAGTCTGTACACTCCAGTTAACAATTAATGGATTACTAAATTAGTTGCCAATAATTTCAATAATGAAAATACTTTCTAGGCACTATAATTATATTCTACAGCTTCATGTGTAAAATGTGTAAATCCACCTTTTTTTCCCCTTTTGCACACTGGAAAAGTTTTTGCTTCGTAATTTCTTCGAGGCTTACTGTGTTATTTTGCTATGAAGGTGAACAAAATTGAAATCAACTACGCCAAGACGGCAAAGAAAATGGATATGAAGAGGCTAAAGAACAGCATGTGGACTCTGCTGACTGACAGCCCAGAAAAACTAAAACAGGTAAATCACTTCTCTTTCTTTTTTTTCCCCCCTAACATCTTGTCCTGAGAGTTTGCGCGGAGAGAGCAAAGTAGCCAGCCAGTCAGGTTGAACTGGATTTTTTTGATTGTGTGTCCAGGTCTGTTTTATTGGCTTTTCCCCTTGATGTTCCCAGCAGGTGGAGGAGACTGCAGAGGCTCCAGTGTGTGGAGAGAAAGCCTTCAGTCAGACCACAAAGACTCTGCTTCAAAGGTACTGGCCAACCTGCTGGCCCGGCCCGCTATGACTTAACACTTGTGAAGAATATTAATCAGAGTTGGCGCTCGTTCTGCATGACAACAGTGAATACAAGTTAATTCTGCGCAAAAATAATCACTGATGCACTGTTCCCCAATTATCCCATTTTAATTTCAAAGATAACAGTTTTTGACTTCCAATTAACGGAAAAGTAAAAAAAAAAAATATGTTAAAGCGTCTCTGTTTTCCTGTTTCTCTCCCTCTGTGTCGGTCCAGATTACCCAGCAGTATGGCTCAGAACCTGTCGGTGCCACTGGCGTTTGTTGCCCTGCTTCATCTCGCTAATGAAAAGGTGAGCGTCACTCAAACACGCCAGGATGCTCATTAGGAAGCAAAGCTGAGATTGATGTGGCCTGTTCCAGTGGTTAACAGATGGGCTCTAGGGATAATTCACAAACTCTTGAATATGCACACGCTAAAGCTGTAGAGAAATCTGTATGTCATTGGAAACCTTTAACATAACAGATTTCACTGTAAAACATACAGAGAAATGTATGTATGTAAAATGTATGTTTCTTCTGGGCACATAAAGACATGCGACATAAAGGACTTGGAACAAAAAATGCAGACAGCTGCTTGCTGTTCAAACCATCTGTAAACTTCACAGTACAGGTATTGATTTCTGATTTCTTTCCCAGAACCTGGAGCTGGTGAAGGTTGATGACATGTCAGATATCATCATCAGACAAGGCCAGTGAGCTGACCAGAACGGAGGATTTGAATGAAGAGTCACAATTTTTATTTTTGTTGTCGTCATTTTCTATGCTTTCTACAGCCTTATTTTTTTCATACTCTATATTTATCTAAAACTTCATTTTTTCTTTAAGAACATGTTTTTAAGTGTCTTCTTATCTCAATGTAATGCAGATTATCTGCTTTTGCTCCCTCCAGCACCAGACCGTTCTCAGCTCTTTACTCTCTCTCTGTCTGTCTGTGTAGATAACTATAACAGCTCAACCAGTGCTCAAAAAATGAATTATAAAAAATAAAAAATTTCATAAATTTCCAGTAATTCTTATACTCAATAACATAACTTTATTGCGGATCATTTTCATGACAAGAAACTCGTATGATTTGCAGTGGCAAATCAGATAGCACACAGCTATTGTTGATCCAACCAGCAGGAACAGGAACGACACGCACCGCCTCCTGCATGGTGGTGGTCAGACTGGTTGGTCGAGGTATGAAGTTTCTGGCTGGGTGTAGCAGATCAACAAGGAGGAGCTGCTGGGCCTAAAGCAGGACACCAAACCTTCCTGTTATGTGAAAACTGAAGGAGTCATTTTTGTCATATGTATGTGAAATTGTAGAGGAAATGCTTGAGTTTTCAGGTCTTTGTCATTTTCAGTTGGCTTGAAACCCAGCTTCTAATTAAAAGATGAATATTAAGGAAGCAAATCCTTTAAACAGCTTTACAAAGAGGCCAGCAGCTGGTAGGGAAATTATTAAAAGCATCATTCTTGGAGGAAGTTCATTCAGCTCTGTTGATTTGTAGAAATGAAAATGGAGTCCAACAACTCTTTGCTGTTGCAGTAATAAAGTCTGATTAATGGCTGTGAAGATCAAAAAGAGGGGATTGCCTTCACAAGTAAGCAAATAAAAGCAGAGCAAAAACCTATTTAAGCTTCATCTCAAGTTACGGTAATCATTTACAGTTTATTGGGATTAGAAGCTTAAAGTATTTCACAAGATTCAACCCTTGAAAAGCAGATAATTTGTGAAAGCCAGAGAAGGTTTTATTAAACTCCAACCTGAACCAGAAAATGTTTTTTTTTTTTTTTTTTTTTTTTTGCTACATTAAAGCCACATTTTTATTGGAATTTTATGAGAAAGGAAATGCAAGAAAATGACGCATTCTTTCAATAAGTTTGTTGGAGAAAAAAGTCACGCCACTACTTTCTGTAGATATTTAATAAACGGGTTTCAATATGAATGCAAGTGTCATGCGAACAAAAAGTTTCACAAAGGCAAGGAACACAGACGGATCAGGGGTAAACTTGTGGAAAAGTATGGTGCAATTACAGGCCGACCACAGCATGGCTGTTGACCCAAACATACGGAGAGGAGAGATTCTGGAAACCAGCGTTGCAAACTAGAAGAGCTGCAGAGATCTGCAGCTCAGGCATGACAGTCTGTCGACTTATAATATGAACTTAGAAGACAGCATTTTGGTCAAATGAGACTAAAATGAAACATTTTGACCAATAAGATGTGAAGTGTAGCAGAAAACTAACTCAGATGGACCAGATTTTGTAAAGAATGTGTGTTTTGTAAGCATTGTGCCCTGTATAAAACTCATAGGCTCAAATGAAGTGAGTTGACTTAATGTTTTTGGATTTTCATCAATATAAACAATTTTAAAGTATTTGAAAATTATGAAGTTATGGTTGATTATGTTACGGAGTAATCAACCATGACTGATGCATGGTAGTCCTACCGTGCATCAGTTTATACCCGCAGATATATGTGACTATCAATGTACTGTAGTTTGCGTTGGAGTATTTTTCTTTCATGAAAAAGGAACCAAAACTCCAGTCCAGGAACCCACATCTATGCAGATCTGGCTCTGTTTGGATTAAAGCCCAACTGAGGACTTCTTTCAAACTGTTCACAGATTTATGCTTGTCTTTATTTTTACAAAATAGTGATATAATTGCCACAAATGTTTCTTAACTAAAAAAAAGTATTGATTCTTTCCACCTGTATAAACAGAGTCCATCCTCATACATATTTATTTCTCAATCTTCCGATTTATTTTTTAACGTAATATATTTTTTGCCTAGTAATTTAAATTTAAATTCCTGTAAGTCTAAGCTCTTTGCCTTTTGCTGTTGACCTCCGTTCAGTACTGTTGCTTAAAAATGAAAGATGACAAAACACACAGCACTGAGCTTTTCCTACAGAGAAAAATATTCTAGGAGAGTTTATGACTCAATAATTATGACTCACTAAGATCACATTTAGGATGTGCTGGTAACATCTGAGTGTGACGCCACAGTAGGAGTGGCCCAGGTGTATTTTACGACAATGAGAGAAGTACAGGTGCAGTTTCAAAATAAAAGCATTTTAATTTCGCCGTAAGGTGAGAATAATGGCCATAAAACGTTGGCATCACCCATTAGCCCTTTAAATAGTTTAAACACTTTAAATAACCTTATTATTTTAGTGTTTGCTCGTCGAGAAACAAATCGTATATCGCTGCGAGGTTGCGTATTTTAATGTGACGGAGGAAGCAAATTGTGATGCGGTTCACTTAACACCGGCGACGCGGAGGAATTTAGTCAGAAGGAAAAAAAAAACAAGGAAGTTAACTTGAAGAAGGAAACGTAGTTAGAACTTGAACGTATTAAACTTTTACATTTTAAACCAGGTTTTTAAGAAGGTCTTAAGTGAACGCAACAGGGTTAAATTAAAAGTTGGACCACCAGTTTACGAGCAAGAGGACTTTTGCTTCTAACAAGATGGACTATGATCCGGTAGGTGATGAGAATAATGGCTGAAGCCTCTGTTTGTTGCTCAGTGTGAACCTTTCGATGCCACTACTGGCCGCCATACAGGCAGCAGGTGCATTTCTAGAGAAAACAGATCCTATGGAAGGAAGAGAGAGAAAAAAAACAGGCTCACTCATAGAACATATTAACTTTTAAACCTAGAGGAAGAAAGTTCTTGCGACGCTGAGCTAAAAAAAAAAAAAAAAGGCCAATAATACCACCCAATGACCAGCTCTCACCAAAAGCTGCGTGGTGGAAGGATTCTTTTCCCTATCTTTGTTAAAACTAAAAACTTCGCACTAAAAAATTTATCCATTTCACATAACCTGCTGCGGTGATATCATTGACTTTTTTAAAATTAATTTTAAACAAATATATTTCATAGTTTTCTCCCAACGAGTGTGTGAGTCCAGCTCTATTTAATTCCCCTCTTTGGGACTGTTAAAAACAAACCTCTCTGTGCCCAAAGGCAGATGGGTACAGTTAGCAAATTATTTACGTCAATTATACTTATATCCACTCACCTGTTATTAAGTTTGGTAAAGACAAAATAACGTAATAAACCCACTAAACATGTACGGCATGCTGTTATTTCGATAAAGCTGGTATTTTGGGATAATACCTGCTATACAGATATGCTGCCAGTTTTAAAACATTTGAGTGATTAGTTGCTGTCCTTTAGTTTCCCCAACCGTGACTGTTTCTTTTTTTATTTTTTTCTTACAAGTGGAAATATTTTTCTAAGAGTTCAATGTATCTTTCTTGCAAGCCATGCAGATGAATTTGTTCACCCAGCTGACTGGCAGTAAGCAGCAACGGGTGGGGGAGGGGTTCTCCAACTTCCAATAGAAACTGAAGTAAATCATTCAGTTGTGTTTAATTTAAAAGACAAAGCTGTGATGAATCGAGAATCCAAATATCAAACTTTCTTTGATATTAGTGGCTGAAGTTGCAGATCCCAAAAGACTAAACTTAAAAATACTACAAAATTATGACCTTCATTTCGTGACATCTGCAGTAATTTACCTTTCACATTTTAATAATTTGCATGGAACAGCTTATGATTTAGATATTTTCTTGTCTGCATCAACCACAGATCTATGGTTGATCTAGTACAGTACTGACTATAAATAAACTGGGGTGGTGGAAGAATTAGTTCTCAAACATTATGACATTTCTAAAACTTCACCACAATAAATCCAGTTTTTATGAGAGATTTTAAAACGACTGTAGTGGCAGAGGAGATGGAATATTTTTACCTGGTATTGTTTTACAATTAAAATAAAGTTTCAGTCTCAAGTTACAGTGTGTTTGGTTGAAAGGAGCAGATTAGTATTGTTTTAATTTTTACTCTGAAGTTAAACCTGCAAAGTCCCTACATTGAGAATTAGCAGAAAGCTGAAATTATCAGGAGAAAATCTGAGATAACTCAGCTGACCTGACGTCAAAAACAAAAATGGCTGCAGAGATATCTGCAGCAATAAACATTTTATTTTCATTTCTGGAATCTAAATGGATATATTTGGTACATCTATTACTCGGTCTGTCCCTTCAAGCTTCACTGAAAACAACAATTAACAAACTCCACAGGTTTTCCTCGTTGCTGGAGTTTGACTAAGTTGCTGCTGATTTCATTTCCAGATTTGACTTCATTGGTAAATGATACACATTACAGAGAGATTAGCCAAAGAAAATATTTAAGTAAAAAAAAGAAACAATTCGATCATGTATTGAATATTCTTTTATTTTTTCTTTCCATCACATCGCCAAACACCATGAAATTGATTAAAGGATAATTAAAAGGTTTTAAAGAAATCTTTATTTCTTTAAAATAAAGTTGTTTTTCTCTGTATTGTATTGCACAACTTTGTGGTGAATGTTTGTGCTATATGACTTTATATTCTTTTTAGATTTGTAACTTAATATGCTTATTTTAGATAAAAGTTGCTTTTTATTTATCATTACTATTATTCCTTTTTGTTGAAGATTATTAAGTTGTCTGTGTTGCACGGTCATCTATTGAATTTACATTGATTGTACCTGGAGGGAGTACAGATTAAAGTTAGCCTTTATGGCTAACTCTGATCATACTTTGTCCCTTTTGAAATAAATAAATTGATCAACATCAGCCAACCAAATTGTACTTTATATATTAATAAATCCGACTCCAGAGGAGTTAGTGGTTCACAGGTCATGAACCTTACTGCATGTCACTGCTGGCCACCGTAACTTGTTCCTGGTTCTCTATCTTCCTCTTCATCTCAAAGGTCTGTTTGAATATTTATGTTTGAATATTTCTGAATATTTATGTTTGAATATTTATGACCAACGCTACCTGGCTAACGCTAACAAACCATTGGTTTGTGTTGCTAACGCCACAGGGTAGCATTGGTCTGGAGTTAGGTAACACACAGTAGCAGTTCCTCATTGGTCAATGCAAACCAATGAGGAACTGCTTAAGTGTAACCAAGATTTTAAAAAAGCGTTTTTATGTAACAAATGTTTTTTTTTGTTTTTTTTTTTCTTTAAAAGGGACTATTCATTATGATTAGACCATAAAGAATCTCAGACACGCTCATTACCTCTATATTATTCAATGCTTGGCACTTATTACATTTGGGTAGTAAAATCAGACAGTTAGGATTTGGAGATGTGGCTAACATGGACAAGGGAAATCAGTCACTTTGCATTCAGAGCAGCAGTGAAACACACACTGTAGTCTTAGGTGTTTTTTTTCCTCCAATATCTTTAGCTTATATACACCAGCTAAATGGCTGCACTCCTATCATCTCACAGGCTTTTGTATGAGTTACTGAGTTCAGCTGGAATACCAAGGCCACTTTCCATGAATCGGAGACATGCCCCTCTTTCTGTGAACGGAGATAGCCGTCAGCCATTCAGTGTGCCTTGAAGGAGTCATTGGTGTGAAGAGATCAGGAAAGGACTGAGCTAGGTTTGTGTGACAGGCGAATAAAACGTAAGGTTGGATGTCGCTCCTTCTTTAGTGGACGTGGGGTTTAGCAAAAAATAAAAACAATAACGTACAGTTAAGCATTAACTAATGAAGCTATTAAAAATCTATAAAACTTGCAGCTGAGATGAGAACATCATGAAGACACAGGATAGCATCAGTCAGACAACGGATGACGCAGGAAAAAACCTGCTCTGTTTCCTAGATACGGCTTTGTTTAGAGGCTGCTGCCGTCTTCTGGGATAAGGAGGTGTGTGTGCGCGCACACACACCTGCTGCCATTTCTGCTTTGAATTCACACCCAGAGCATTGAAAAATGAGTTTACTTTACACTGTATCAAACAACCCCTGGAAAAAATAATTTGGCATTCAGCGGGGTCGGCTGCCGCATGCAAGAGTTTTGATCAGTGACCTGAAAATGGCAACACGATACAAATCAGTAGGTTATATTTAGTGGATGGCAAACCTTCGGTGGGTGTGAATGTTTTCTAAAGGTCTGTCTGAATATTTATGATGAGTTTAAAGTTTGAAGGAATGTTTACCCTGTCATGCATGAAAGGGATTCTTCACCAATTGGGCTTTTCCAAGTGAAGTTGGTTCGTTTTAAAGCAACCAGACGTTCCTTGGTAGATTCCAAACTCAAATTTTGTATTTTTCTTAAAAACAAAGTTCAAATCAATAATATGGCAAATAACTGAAAAAAATATTAATGTTAAGGGAAAGCTAAAATATTGAGGATAAATAAGTGAGTTGTCTCACATTATGGTGCTAAATGGATGTACCGTAAATCAAACTTTTGGATGGGGACTCTAGTTAAGAACAAATTGAAGCTTTTTTTATATCTCAAGTGGTTTTGCCCAAAATGATGCCTTTTTAAAACTATTTATTTTAGTTCTGACGGCAAGATGGGTATCTTTTACCTACAGTGGTGTATTAGGTAAAAGATTTTTCATCTCAATGAATGTTGAGATGTTTTATCACCTGCTGTTGAGTTCAGTCTTCTCTATAAAACTAACATAGTTTTTCTGCTGACGCTGAAACATTTAATTGCCATTGTTTCATTACTGTGTTGATGTCACAGCCGTTTCAATACCTGTAAACGGAGAGACGACTATGAAATGTGTAAATCTGCCTACTCACATTTAGACTAATCACTGTGCATAATACATAGATCTTACTCTGTGTATTATGGTGAGCACATTGTGAGTTTTGTAATGGAGTTATTTAAGCTCTAAAGGTTTCTTCCCTGTACTTGGCTGCATCTCTGCCTGAATTTGGGTGGTACTTAGATTTATTTATTTTATTTTTCTTAACCAGACACTTAATGTAAAACTCCTTAAGCTTTGTAGACTGTGAAGATAAGTTTATCCTGCATGTCCAAAGCCTTGTGATTATTCTGTAATACATGATTTATTTTCAGTCGTATCAGGTTTAAATCTTAGTCCAGAGATGCCCACAGGCCTTCTGAAGAGAAATAAGACTGCATACATTTAAGTAGTTACTCTGATATTGCTGCTTGAGTTTCGAACAATCACAAGTTCTTGGAAATGGGTGAGAGTAGAGCACCTAGGATTTGAGTGCACAAATAATATTATATATTTGACTGCAGCATATTTATTGGGTCTAGTGCATGCGATAAAATGGGATGAAATGTATATTGATGCAGAGGATGTCTAACAACTGCAATTTGTCATTGAAGAATGTCGAGTCCTCATTGACATTGACATGGTAAAGTTGATGATATCTGGCGTATTTCAGCTAATTCTGAGTACTTTGTGCCGCCTTAGGAGCGCGGAGGAATCGAGGACGCACCAGAGCCCAAGGACAAGGTCCAGAACCTGAGGGATCAGGTGGATGGAGTGAAGAACATCATGACGCAGAATGTGGACCGGATCCTGGCGCGAGGAGAGAGACTGGACGACCTCATGGGCAAGTCGGAGGATCTTCAAGCAGGGGTCAGTGTTACTGCCATATTTTTATTATTATATACTTTGCTCTCCTTTTAGTTTATCCGAAACAATGAGTTGCACTGTGTAGGTTTATTGTTGAGCCATGATCACAGTGGCAGTCATTATGAACAACTCTGAACAGGATGCTTTAGATGGGGTGTATGGGGGGGGAAGGCAAATAAAGTGTCATCATCATTCTTCTGTTGAACGCAACTTTTAATGGAGAACGTTTCAGTCAGGCACCTTGGAAAGAGAATGAGCTCATTAACCCCACAGCTTGCTACCTCAGGATCAGATGTCTCATTACACAGTACGCTTCAACCCATGTCACATTTTGATTTTACTCTTCATTAAAGGTTCACTTGAAGTCTCTGGGAGCGAAACCAATCAGCCGCTATAGACAGGAGTCTAAAGAGTGTATATGGATTCAGTCATCAAAAGTCTACACAAACTCCCTGATTATATGTTTTTTTTAAAACTTATCCAAGTAAAGAAGCCATTTTGATTGGGAAGAACTATGAAAAATCTTTCACCTGCTGTGTTTCCATTACAGATGTGCAGAAACATTTTTCTGTATTCCACTAATGTCAAAAAAACCATAATTTTGCAATTGATGCGTTTCCATTAAATAAAAGATGCGATTAAAATGACATGTGAATAAGTTTGTTTACATAATGTTGGCAAATAACATGCAGCCCGTCATCCTCCAGCTCCTCCTTGCCTTCTTCTTCGTGGTTTTCACATCCGATTGTTGATCACATATGATGCAAAAAAAAAGGTGCAGTTCCCATTAAGGAAATTTATTTTCAAAACGTCGATTTGCACAACTATATGGTCAGTGGGAACGCAGCTATTGTCTTTTCATTTTATTAAAAAGCAGAAAACTGATTATTGATAAACCAAGAAGGAAAATATGCTTGTCCTAAAGAATTAAAGCACAAACGGCTGGCAGGAAAAACTGCCAGCCGTTTTTCCTGTCAGTGTGTCCTCATCCAGTGACATCTATAGGAAAACTTCTGTTTAATTTGAGCATCTGAATCATCCACATGATGTCTGAGAATTGTAGCTTGCTGCAGAATGGAGCCTGGGGTTTGTGTGGAGAATGCTGACATTTTGGGTGATCCTTCTCATGTTCCTCCATTCCCAGGCTCAGAACTTCAAGCAGACTTCTCACAAAGTGGCCCGGTCCTACTGGTGGAAGAACGTCAAGCTGATCGTCGTCATCGTGGTGGTGGTGCTCATCATCATCCTCATCATCATCCTGCTGGCCACCGGCGTCATTCCCGTCAGTGCGCCTGTGGGTCCTGTAGTAAATCCCACCAAGAAACCGTGAAGGCACACAACACGTCCAACGAGACACAACGAAGTCGTAAACACAGAATACCAAGTAATATATTGACCCTAGAACATGACTTATTACTACTTCTGGTAAATATTTAAGGCTTCTTTGTTTCTTCAGGTTACTTTCATGCTTTTGTTACAGGCACTTTTAATGATAAACTCTTTGAAACAGCTTAAATAAAACCAGATAAGTGAGTTATCTTTCCTTTTCTAGCTTTTTTAAATGCTTTTTTTTTTCTTTTTTCTTTTTACTGGAAGCACCTCAGTCTTCTCCATCTGTAGCCAGTTAACAGTTAATTTGAATGATTGTAGGTTTTTATTTTCCATAGCTCATCGTTTATGTTGACTTTTCCAAAGATATGCTTATGAACCGGAGAAACTTGGCCAACGTGTTACGAGACGCACATTAGATCTTCAATGTTACCACTAACTTCAGTAAAGGAGAATCTACTTTTTTACACTCGTGCAAAAGAAAATCTGTACAACTAAAACCAACGACTGATGTTAGTACAATGAATGTCTTTTTTTTTTTTTACATTCAAGCATCTGTTACAGAATAGAGGCCTGACGTGTTGAGAACAAGTGGGACGCACCACCAGGCCCTTCCAGTCTGTCAGCTGGGACAGACCGTTTCCTGCCCGTTTATTTCTATAACATTTAGGCCCACCTCTATCTGCTGCCCCACCACCTGGCTAGCTTCAAAGAGGTCTAAATTAATCAAATTATCAACTGTATATAGTTCTCACCAATGTGTATATTTACTGTTAACAAGTGTCTTTGCAGAAAGTGTCTAATCATTAGAACCAAATTATTTAATTCTTTATTTTATTCAATGAAATCAAGAATGATTCCTAGATATTTCTGTGAAAATAAACTATACTGATTTTTGATTAAATGGCACATTTTTTTTTTTTTTCTTTTCCTTTTTTTTTTTTTTTTTTTTTTGCTGTTTATCAGATTATTGTACAAAAAAGCAGAATGGAATGTGTTGGAACAAATTCTTTCTGTGTGTATTATAGTTGTCTGTATTTGTGGGATGCAGTAGCCTCTGTTCTCTTAGCCTGTTTATTTTGACTGAGTGATGCCGGCCGGATAAATGCTGTCCTGATGGCAGACCGCCGCAGAGCAGCTGTGTGGTGTAGCTGCTCGCCAGCGTTTCTGGTGTTAAATAGCTTTACTGTCTGATGAAGTCAATAAATAGTATTTACCTCAAACTGGTTGTTTGGAACTTGTTTGTTGTTCACCGAGTTGCCTCAAGATGGCGACCTGGTAGCGGTGCCGGTGTGCCGTCTCTGTTCAACCGTTCTGGTTCCGCGTGCCGTGTCGCACGCATAACACATGTGACAGGTGTTATGCCGAGAAACTCATTCTTGCCGAGAATTGCATGCCCTTGTCGCGGGATCGCGCATCGCTCTAAACTCTCGCATATTGACGAGAAAAAGGACTGAAGTCTGACCGAAGAGGCAACTTTTAAATGTATTCGGATCATTATCATGTTTCTGAACCATATAACCCCTAGAACGGTGAGTTATATTTCGCAAATGAATTGAAATAAATACGGTTTTGACACCTTTTTTGAGACATAAGTTGAACGTTTTACAATGTCTGATGAATACGTTCTTCTCCGCTAATGATTTGAAATTCCCCGCTTTTTCTTTTAACACCATAATAGCTTAACGCATGAGAAAACAGGGCCATTATGTAGAAAATTTGATATCACCCATAACTGTCCAGTCTATTAATGTAAGAGGGAATGAATTTTAATTTCTGAGCCTGCCCATATCTGCATCCACTGTTTATTGACTTATTGATGTGAAACGTTTAAGGAAAAGCAGGACTATCGGTAGGCTCACTTTTTGAACTCTTAAATCCACTCTCCAGAACTTTTATTTTGGCTGAAAATATGGCTTTGCATTCTATTAGATAAAAATTTAATATGTGAATGATGGCTAAAGTTTAAATATACCATTTAATTGCATTAGGCCTTATAATAAGCATTCACCGAATGCTTATCATGAAACCGATGAAGTCGTTTTCTCTGCTAAATGTTTGGGTTTGGCTGCATTCAGAAGGCTGAGGGACAAAAAGCCTATTGTTGTTTCTGGGATTTAATTATGTGGAAGAGAAATATACAAAACAATTTCATTCACCTTGATGTGAAGGAGAGTTTATTTGCTTAGACTTTATATATCACTAATTTACAAAATTGTACCCTTAATATCTCAAATGGTAGCAGTTACTTTTAGCTTTTCTTTCAAAGTGAGATAAGCATTCACCGAATGCTTATCATAATGCTGTGGTCCTCTCTACTGTCATCTACTGGGGCAACAGCATCAGAGCCATGAATCTAAAAAGGCTCAACAACTTGATAAAAAAAGGTCTGGGGAACTACTGTAGGACCTATGGAGAAAAGATGGATTCTTCATTAAATCAAGAAATTACATGAGAACTCCTGTTGAGGCACTCTTGTGCCTCAACAGAACAAGAGTTCTGCGAGAGTTGCATAAAGGTAAGTTGCATTTAATTCCCCTCGGGGATTAATACAGTATTTTTAAAGAAAACTAAATTTAAATATTTAATATTCATCCTCCCTAATGACTAGTTATTTTTCTGGGTATTCGTCTGAGTCATAATCCACATGTCCAAATGAATGAGGAATAGGATCACCTAAAAACCTGCTCTCCAGGAAGTTCCAGACACAACATCAGAGGATCTTTACAGTAACTTCAGCAGAGAGCTGAGCCAGAGACAATGACAGCTGTCGTAAGTATTAAACCTTTCAATGTTTTTAGAGCGAAGAACAGCAGAGCTTTCAAAGATTTTGTTTTTATCGATATTTCTCTAGAACAAGGCACTACATTTGTCAGAAAAGCTGTACATTTTTAATAAGTGATAGGCAGATTCTTTATTGAAGACAGAAGTGCTCCCGTAATGTCTCCGTTCATCGATCATTTCTTCAATTGTTATTTTACAAACTTAAATTTAAAATACTATTTTTTTTTATTTCTAAAGAAACTATACATTTTATTGCACTTTTAAGATATTTTTTTATTGCTTTAAAAACTATTTAATGCACTCATTCATATTTGTTTTGGTTGTCAGAGCCATCATGTGCAACAGATCTATCCGTGAAATAAAAACACAGAGAATGTCAGCAGCTGGTGACAAACAGCAACTAACTCAGCTTCATTTTCAGCTTTTAAAAAATGATGTAGGACGCTGAGTTTTCCTCGTGTCCAAGGATGATTGGAAAATGATGTTTGAGGTCAAACTACTGCGATATCCCACTGCAGCGTCCTCAGCAGTCTGCTGCTGCCGTTCTGTAAACTATTCGCTGTCATTCCTTTGGGTGTAACTTTTTTCCCCCGACAGGAAACAGATTTTACCGTAAATGTTCTTCATGTGGGGAAAAAACTTGCCGGACTGCATAGATTAAGTCTGGCAGGAGTGCCTGCCATCACCAAGTCTGACTGATTACACTTAATGTTATTAGAATAGCCTATATCAAGTCTATGGTGGTTGAACGTTAAAATGAACTGAATGGTAAAACTGGACACTTTGCTTTTTGTTTGAAATATTTATTGTTGTTAGCATCATTTCTTATTTTTGAGTTTGTCTCTCAGCCACAATAAACGATCTGGACAAATGTAATACCATCAGATTAAAAGGTTATTTTCCTGATCAAATAGAAAAGTAACCTCGTTTTGCTCTAACATTAGGAAATCCAAACTGACCCGGTAGAGCTTTTAATCCGTTATAGATGCACTAGTGGTGAAAAATCTTGTTTTAGGATGAGTTGGTAATTCTTCATTATTGTGGGATTACTGTGGGATTTTTATTTTCTAGTGTGTGGTTTCCTTCCAATCAAACACTTTGCTAAAGAATGCAGATTATTTTTCAGTAGTGTCAAACTTGACATCTCCTAATAATACACACACACGCACACACACACGGAAAGAACATTCAGGTTCTCACTCAGCTTCTCGGAAGTTACTGCATATTATTTGTATTTCTTTAAACACCTGCTTTCCCTGTGGTTTAACTGAAGCTCAGTGCTGCCTCCATGTGGCTGATAAAATATGTCCCACTCTGACATCTGCAGAGCTACAGAATTCAGAAGCTGCCAGGTGATTTCAATGTAGATTTTTTTTCTCATCCTTCAAGCAAGAGTTTTCCAACTCCAGAACAGCTACTGCTGACAGGGAATAAACTAAAAGTGAGAAAAAAAACGCTGTTATTTTAGGCATATGGTGTTATTTGGCATAGAGAACCAACGTTTTACAGTGTGCTCTACTTTTTCTCTTACAACTGAGACTCAATTAAAAACTGTTGTAATGAGCGCTGGAGCAGTAACATTTGTAAGACACGGGGCAGAAACATTTGTTTTCAGTGCACAGCTGTGTAAATCATGCTTTAGCACATCAGATCATTAGCATGCACACTTCGATATTTAGCTAGGTGGGGCTGCAGCACATAGGTGGCACAACTAGAATTTACTTTAATGCTCCTGAAATGTTAGCCTGGTCGTTGCCTTCTCACGCTGTTCAGCTCAATTTAAATCTTGCTTTGTCTGGGATTTCTCCCATTCACTTTGATTCTCCTCTAGAATTTCAGCCGGGCCAATCAGGAAAAATTGTGAACAATGACACCAGTTTTCCGTGTTCAGTCTGTATTGGCCACACTTCCAAATATTAAATTATCGTTTAGCACAGCTCTTCTCTCTTCAGAGTGGAGGATGGTTGTTTACAGTGCAAGCAATTTTCAGTAAGCGTCACAGAGTCGAACTGGCACATTACATGCATCACGGGCAAACGATAGCAATTGGGTAAAATGTAAAACCTGGCCTCCAGGAAGCAATCGTTTCTATACAGTCTAGAGCAGTGGCGCAAAAATGGGGTATGCAGCGCATGCAACGCATAGGGGCGCAGCACCAGAAGGGGCGTCAAAACCCCGTCTGGAGGGGGCGGCGCGCCGATTATGTTTTCCCATAAACTTCAGCCGCCTTACGCTCCTTCACCTCGCGCACGTGACGAGGTAAATGTGGTGAGTTTTACCTTTTACGTAACGTCGTCTGGTGGGAGGGGGGGGGTTCCACGCTCCTTCAACCTTCCTTTGGGGTGGGGGGGGGGATTTATGTTTTACGCATCCACCTGAATAATAGTAGTAGTTGCGCCACTGGTCTAGAGCCAAGACTCCATAAACTATAGAACAAGGAGCTGGTTTTTAGCATTATGTAATCTCATACTGCATTTATAAAGATTTATCTACCTCAGCATGTCAAATGCTTGAAGAAGATCCAGATCACAGCAACCTAAACAGCACAGAAGATAATTATTTTTTCACTTGAGTACACTTATAGAGCATTGACCTTACATTCCCAGATAGGGAGTAGATACTCTGAATATACAAAGAAATACATTTTACTAAATTTGAGAACAATTTCTCTAACTTCTATGACTTCTCCTCCAGACTTGTGAAAGTTGTAATACTGTTTGTTTTTGTTTTGGGATTCTTTCGATTTTTGTTGTTTTTTTGTTGTTGTTGTTGTTTAAGGCTCCCTGGTTATGATGTACATCATTAGTATCTTCAGTGTTTATCGTGATGCTGTGGCCATCATAGGGACGTCTGTAGGTCAAGTGAAAGCTGATAAAGAATGCTCAACCCGACTGTGCAGTGGTTGCACATTGAAGAAGTGACTGTTAATTTTAAAAAGGACCGTAATTGATTTTTTTTTAAAAAGAAACAGGAAATATGTTTTTAATACGGAATCTGTCATTTCATGTAAATCTGTAGTTTTCCCAAATAAAAAAATGGAAAAAGAAAATGGAGGCACATCCAAAATCGGATACAATCTATTTTGGCGTTGCTTTTTGTCACATTTAGTTATTTTAGGGCATCCAATGAACTTGAACCCCCTCCAATAATAGGAGTTAAAGTGCTGTATGTTTTACCTTCAAGCTGACTGTATGGGTAAAAAAATGACTTATAACTGTGTGTTATATAATTATGTAATTACATTCAATGAAAGGTAAATACATTTGCTTCTATAGATGTTGGCATGAAGAGTTTTTTAAGACTCACTGCATGCAGTAATTTGACGTCATAATAATAATAATGATTTCCACAAACGTAGTTCAGCTGTCTGTCTTCTCTCTGTCCATCATCACAGGAGATGGAAGAAAAAGATGATTCACAGCAGATGAAAGCCAAGACCAGTGAGCTGTCAGATCAGATAGATGAAGTGAAGGAGATCATGAAGAAAAATTTGAACCAGATCCTCCACCGAGAAGAAAATCTGGAAAAACTCCTGGAAGTGTCCAAGTATCTGGAAGACAAGGTCAGCGTCTTCAGTCACACATAGATCTTCCTAAAACTTCACAGAGATTTGGACTCTTTCCTTCATAAGATCATTTAAAAGAAAAAAAACACTGTGATTGCAGTGAACGTCAACAGCCAAACCAGTTCAGCAAGGAGCTAAAAATAATAAATGACGTTCGGCCTTTTTCTTCTGCTCCGCCAAACTTTTAATTAGGCGCTTTTTACTTGGGCATTATTGCAGCTCGCAAAGAGAATGAGCTCATTAACCCAACAGCTCTCCATCGTCTGATCGGATGCTCCACTGTGTGGTTGGGGTCATGTGGCTACCAGACATCACTAATGAGCTTCAGTCCTAATCAAGTTAATGGACACCAGTCACATTCACATTCATCACCTACAAACAAGGAAAGGTAAAATACATAGCAGTGGCACAGTCAGTCAGACAACATTAGTCTTGACCAGTAGCTCATCATTCCACCTGGTGTGTGAATACCGAACAGCTCAGGTCGGTAGGATGAGGCGCCGTCGGGTTGTGCTTTAAAAACAACAATTTTATATTCAATCAGGACGACACAAACAACATTACCGCTGTACATTAAAGTGAAATGCTCTGATTCACAGCAAACGTAATCTCAAACCATTTTACCAAACCAGCGTCCGGTTGGTTTGGATTAGATTTATTTCTCTTAATAAATGAAAATAAAACTTGAAAAGTAATTTCCGTATTTAACCCTGGCTATCTTTGTGTGGTATTTTACCACTTTAGGATAATTAACACATTTTTAATTGAATTTTGAATTTTAATTCAGGTTTGTTTGATAATGCAGATATATTTAAGTGAGGGACTCGGGGGGAAAGAGCCAAAAACAAATTAAGAGGTGAAAAGCATCTGCTTGATTTCTAAGGTGCTAACGCTCTCCGCGGATTCCAAAGGGACTTTTTTTTTCCTCTTCTCTTTTTCAAACACACATTCGTTCACAGAGCACGTCCTCGTCCTTCCAAGAAACACATGAATCACTTTTTTTTGTTATTTCCTCTGCTCAGGCTTATAATTTCAGACGTACAACTAATGAAGTGTCTCGCTCCTACTGGTGGAAGAACGTCAAGCTGATCGTGGCCGTGGTCGTGATCGTCCTCATCGTTGTCGTCGTTATCATCCTGCTGGCTGTCGGTGTCATTCCCATCAGCCCGCCTGTGGCTCCTGTGGCCACGCCCACCATCAAGCCCTGAACGCACATCAACACAAACACTGTGATGAGACAAAATGAGATTATGGACGGATTACACTGTGTGGCACAGATCTGGACAAATTCTGATGTGCATAGTGAACTGTATTTTTCTCAGTAAACTTATTGTGTAATAAACAAAAAGATAAAAATAAATGATTTGATGTTTATTTTGCAACGAACTAAAACAGAATCGATAAATTAGTCGACAGTATTAACCATTGTATTGTAGTCATGTTGCTATTCAGTCAATTTACAGCAGGTGGCGTTGTGTAATTCCCAGTCATTTTATTTCACAATCAAGTAACTGTTATGTTCAGTTGTTAAGAAAACACTGTTTAGAAGAGGTGATCAGATCAATCCGAAATATCCATCATATTGATACTAAGTCGGTGTCAGTATCAGATTGATATTTGCGATCAAAACTAGTTTCAGATTCCCTCTTGAATTTTTTTTCTTTGTTTCTCAAATCTACCTTTAAAGAAAATGTTTTTGCTTTGATTTGCTCTGATCTTTTTTTTTTGTTCTTGCACTTTATTTTAGAAAAAATGCATACGTCTTTTTTCATGTTTCTGTTCATCTTGTTAAGAAAGAAATTATTAACATATGTTGTGGACACCTTTAAACTTTGTTCAAAGTTTGTCCAAGGTATTAACAAAATAATTCATATTGTTGTCCCTTCAATGAGACAGTGTGATGCCTCTCAGTGATATGTTTAAAAATGTTAATGCATCTTATTTGTGAAACCATCTCATCATCAAGTTAATTTTAAGTGCTATTGATAAAATGTGGACAACCAACACCCCCACTATGTTTATTCTATTGTTATAATCAATGGTTTGATTATTTAATCTGTACTTTAACTTGGAGGTAGCCAAAAGATCAAGATAACGTTTTGCATGTAGTAGCAGTTTTACGCCACCAGAGGGCACTACTTGATGTGGGTTGGAAGTTTGAGAGTGCGCACAGTAAAGAAAAAACATCCCGTTGTGAGAGATGTATGCCATGTCCTGAGGCAATAAAACGCCCTTCTTCGTAGAAAGTGCAACATTATTAAAATGATAAAATTGGCCGATGAAGGTTTTCACCAGTCAACATGTTTCTTCAGTTGTACTGGATTTTTTAGCAGTGTGCAGAACATGAAACCACTTTCTTTTTCATAGAATAAAATTTATTTTGCATCACATCTTGCAGCAGGGTAACACACACAGCTTGTCGTTTCCAGGATCTTTGCTGTCCAGGATCAACTGTCCTTCAGCTCGTTTGCCAGGGATCTTTTGCTTTTTATGCTATCCTGCAAATTTTGTAATAAAGATTATAAGTCCCAAAATGATGAGTCCTGCCACCACACTGAAGATGATGATGATTTTGGTCTTCTTGTTGGACATTTCTTTCTGCTGCTTCAACTTCTTGGTTGTTCTTTCAAAAACTTTACTCTGCGGACAGAAAAACATGTTGAAATATGTGTTTTCAGTGGTACTTTTCAATATCTGTTATGAGGATGCGAGTCATCTATCATTGATTCAGTTGATTTATGAAGTAACAATAAATTGATAAGCGGGCATTTTCATAAAAACTTGAGTTTTCTGTCATATTAAGAGGGCTCACTGTCTTTCCATAACAAAGTTTTAAATTATTCATATACTGAATATGCTGCATGCAGGCTGTTAAACAAAAACTAGTCTGCTTCAGTCATATTAGCTAACAATAGGAAATACCTTTTTCAACATAACACCATTTTTACACAATCCATTAATGTAAATATTGCACATTAATTACTCCCATGACAAATTTACTTCTGAAAAAAAATAACTTTCGTAAGCGGCCCAAACGACGGTGTGGCAGCCACGATGGGTTTTCCAGTTGGACGGCGCCTCCAGCAGCTACCTTCTCTCGCAGAACCTCGGCCTGCTGCTCCAGGTCTTTCAGGTTGTCAGATCTTTCTTCGGCCTTTTTCTTGTTATCCAGCATTATCATTTTCACCTGCTCCACCTCCTCCTGCGTCTGGTGCAGGCGGCTCTTCCCTTCCTCCTGCAACACAGAACTAGGTGAGAATTTATTGTTATTTGGAACAGCTTCTAGCTTGGTGCAATATAAAAGCACCAAAGAAAAGCGGTGATGATTGGTATTTGTGGCAGGAACGAGTTGTGATGCTCCGTATGTTTTGGGGGTAAACAAAGGATCTGGCATTATGGCTGGAACCTGCTATGAAAATTTGCAAGTACTTTAAAAACCTCTTGAAAACATTTTTCATTCGAAATACTTTTCTCCAACAGACTAGGAAGTCAAGCCTTAAAGAATTCAAACAAGAAGTTATCAGCTATGAAGCTAAAATGAAGACAGACTACCAGGCTGATGAAGAATGCATCCGATCAACAGAGCGATCTAAAAGAAACAAGATCAGGGCCGAAGCAGGATATTTCAACAAGAGGTTTCACCTCAGAGTTATTTGTTTCCTGCCTGCTTTCTCCTTCACATTTGCCCTCTGAGCCGTGACAGGAAGGCACAATCTGACAGGGCAAACCAGATAAATGTGCTTGACATCAGAATCTGCTGCCAAGTGACGTTTATCTGCTTCTATCTCTTATCATCGAGACGTGACAAACAATAGCGTGTTTAATGCTCAATCGTTCTTAACACAGGAACTGCTGCCCAGACCTTCCTTCCCTCACTCCCTTCCTCATAACTGGCAGAACCAATTTTAACTTTGTGTTTTAAGGATGGAGTCATAGCCATCACACAGGATGGGTGACGGGAACTAGAGATTTAGAGCTACTAAACAGGCTTTTATAATATCAGACTCATATATATAGTTTATTACCTAAGAAGTATTGCAGACAGTTTTTCTATTTGTTTTGTCATTTCATTATAAATCATTACATAAACGTACATAAAAAAGAAACTGAAATGCCTCCATGCTCGTATGACCCTGCTGACATCACAGAAGGCTTAATGCATTTATATTTTCCTTGTCGTTCCCTCTTGATTTTCATGCTTTTAATCAAATTTCATTACTTACCGATCAGAAAGGGACATTGGTTTGGTAAGAAAAACAAAAGTCAGAATGTATACAGTGCCACTCTGGTATACCATGTAACTATTTAAGGTGATACAGGCAGAATATGGCTTATACTAGAGGTTTGTATCTATGGAAACCAATCACATATGAACAAAATTAAACAAAAATAATCTGCAGGTGGTTCATATCATCATTCACATTAGGTTCACCATCCATGGCAACCATTGTTTTCATTGTCCTGTAGACACAGCCTCCCTGTGAAGTGACAGAAAAACTTAAAAATATGTAAACTAGACGTGCATATCCATAGTTTCAAACTATGCATGCTCTCAAAAAAATAATTAAAATAATTAAATTCAATCAAAAATTCTTCAGAGTACCATCACAGGCAATCAACCACAGTCTGAGACCCACCGCTACTGTATATAATCTATATCACAATCGCATGCAGGAAATGAGTTTTTGCTGAGGCTGCGTTATCTGATGGATTCTCTTGTCTCTTGTAATGTCATCAATCCACATACCGAAAAAAGTAACGGCTTATTTTTCCTTTTTCAGGGATTACTTCAAAGATTTTGTATTCTGTAAAACTCTGGATTGGAAATCCATACATCCATAGCCACTGTGTTTTTCCTTTTAGTGAAACACACATAACATAAAACAAGCTTTCCTTCCAGTCTTATCTCCTTGGTAAACCCAAGTCTGTTTCCCCTTTAGCCAAGCTACCTAACCTCAGGCAGGTATCCACTTACCATGTCTGTTGCGTCTCAGGCTGTGAGGGAATCAGAGCCGTCACTGCGTCCTGAACATGTACAGGCAGGCTAATGTCAACTTTATAAAAACGTGAATCACAGCATTCCTTGCTCCACTGCCACACTTAAAACAAAGGAAGTGCCCTGAGAAGTTGGGAGGTGTAAAACATCACGGTGAAAAAGAAAAGTGAGGAGATGGGACAGTCTACCAGGGTTTTCATTTTCACTTTGAGCTTCATCACTAGGAGTCAGGAATTTTAGTAAACACAAGATCTGGATGTGATATCACAGTATAACGCCACACTTTTCCTGAGAAAAGTAAACATTATCCAGACGTGTTGTTTGGCGCCAACACCCCAAAGGGTAGTTCATTCTTTCTTTGTTTGCTTACAGTAGTTCTTGAGGTATTGTTACCTTATATCAGAGGTTCCCAAACAGTGGGGCGCGCCCCCTAAGGGGGGCGCCGTGTCATTGCAGGGAGGGCGCGGGAAGCCGTCTGGATGAAAAAAAAAACAAAACATGAACATGTATGTGCTGGGTTTTTACCTTAGAATGGCCAACTCTCTGTTATTCCTGTCAGTTTGATACAGTAGAGGCTTCCACACCTCCCATATTTGTGTCCTCTGTCACTTTTATCAGCAGTTAAAATTGTTTAATCCGTTGTTAACATGTTGTAACCTGTTTTTCCGAGCCGCCTTTAAACGCAACATGAGCGCTACGACGCTCGCGCTGGGTTTACACCTGTGAAGGAGACCAGCTGCTGCTGGGCGGAGCTACGTAGGTTTGTGTTAGAATCACGGCAGCAAAATGCAAAGAACTTTTCACAGTTTTTCCCTCCAAACTAACCGACTGAGTTGAGTAAAGCTGTTGGATGCAGGTAATTTAGCTAAAGATGACTAGCTAATATCAATACAGAACCTTAAGCTTAACAAGTACCTTGTAGGCTACCGGTGTTGGTGTCATTTTGCAACCCCCCTCCCCCCCGTCACATTGTAATCCCTGTGGGGGGGCGCAGAATATGTTTGGAAACCACTGGGGGGGCGCAGAAGAAAAAGTTTGGGAACCACTGCCTTATATTGTTATTCATTAACTTAGAACATTTATAAGTTACTAATAAGTAAAGTCCTCGGAATATAATTTCAACAGCCAAACACTTACAAGTAACACTGTTCAGTGGTGGGAGGAATTGCGACATAGTTGGTCAGTGGATTGAGTTTCAAAGTAAGCAAAGTAATCAAACTTAACCTGAACTTTTCAGTTGGCTGATGAAATCAAATAAATGGCTAAGGATCCTGTAATGTTCCTCATTACATTTAACAAAACAAGAAGTTTTTGAAAATTTAGATTTTTAAGCTGTAGAAAAATAACCTATTTATATTGCTATATAAACTTAAGAAATGCAAACTGACCTGTACAAAGCTCTAATGACCGTAGAGCTTTTAATCTATTAGAGATCCCAGTGCGGTGAAGCACCTCATCTTACCTTGGAAACTTTTAAGGGTGAGTTGGTGATTCTTTACTTAAGATGTGGAATCTGTTCAAACCTTCAACATGACTGTGGGAGGAGTTGTTTTTTTTGTTGTTGTTGTTGTTTTTTCTAGTGTGTTGTGTTTCTTTCAAATTAAGCACTTTAAAAAATATTTTGCTCAAGAAAGCAGATTTATGTAGTGTCAAGGTTGACATCTTGTAATAATACAGACACAGAGAAAACTTTCCAGAGACGTTTTTTTTATCAGCTTATAGGAAGTTACTGCACTTTCTTAATACCCTCACTTTTCATGTGAGCAAACTGAAGCTCAGTGCTGCCTCCAAGTGGCTGACTAATATATATAAAAAATACCACTAAGATCTGTGGACCAACAATATTCAGAAGTTTTTTTTTATTCTTCAGACGATGAGAGCTTTCTAAACAAGGCGCCGCCAAGAATCTTGGGCCCCATGACAAAAAATTTAATTGGGCCCCTTTAAAAAACATGTCTCTCCATAAACCAACAGAGACAGTGTAACCAACGGTAACTAGTAGTTTCTGATGAGGTTGCTATAAACAAGCTCACTTTGACTCACTATACTGAATATTTGCTCTTCAGGGTTCAATGAACAGATAAACATCACAGGTCCAAACAAGGACAATCATGATTGACACATTACATTTCAAGATCTTTATGCTAAGCTAATATGATCTGAGTAATATAATACGCTCCAAAAATGATAATTATTACTCTTGTTTGTAAGTTTTTCCTAAATCATGAGCTGCCATCACTTATTCTGCTAAATAGCTGATAAATGAGCTAATAAGGAGACTTGAAGACATCAATGTGCCACTCTTTTTAAACTTTTCCCATATTCCTGACTGCAGAAATGTGTAGCAGAATTTACTGATAACTACTTGATACATGTCAGAATTAGAAAAATATTTGTATTTCTAGTGATCCAATATGCATCTGCAACATTTAAATGGAAATTAAATGTTGTAATATCCACCAAGTATCTTAAAGAGTTGGTGGATGTTGTTGCTGTGGGCAGGAAGGATCATCTCCAGTATCAATCATTCTTCTAAAGACAGTGTTGCTGTCATGACATGCTAACACTTCAATATCCCGATTGCAGACACAATATCCCACAATCACAAGTCTTGGATGACACCATAAGTTGTTGTAATGAACTGGTAAATCAATCTCATCTGCCTATACTGCTGCTCCCTTGTAAATANCTCTCTGGCTGTTTGGTTTGAAAGNTGGGCAGAAA